AGAGAACTCATTTGGGAAGATGATCCACAACAGGTTGATTTAGATGAGTTGTTGTTCCGTGAATAGAATCTTGACATTTATGCCCCTCAATCTCAGGGGTAATGTGTGTGTTTGTGTTTTATTATTATTATTATTATTAAAAAATACTAAATTTATGTCATATTTATAGGTTAGAAGCACGTTGGTGCAACAGGGATATGAAAAGCTTGATGACATTATTAGACACACAAAGCTATTAAGACCTCCATATATGTCTTTAGTAAAAACTCAACATCTTGATCTTAGTTGTATGCTTTCTGTATGTCTCTTTACAGTTTCAAGACTGCAATTTTGTTTTGTTTTGTTTGAATTTCTTTTAGTAATCTTTAAATTTTCATTTTCGGAATGTTAGGTTCCCAAAATGGAGCAGCACCACCATAAGAAAGAAAGCAGGAGGTTCATAGTAATGACCCTGTTCTTGATGACATTTTGCTTTTTGATGTTGAGATAATTCATTAATTCTTTCTTTAGAACAATTCCTTTTTTCAAGATTTTAGCTCTTTTTTTCTTTTTCTGTGTACAGATATTATGGTGGCTTTGTTGACAGGTGTTTGTTCATCGGTGTTGCTGGATACTAAGGTAATTTCTTTTACCGATTTATTTTTCTTTCACTTCCCTATAGATTTTGATCTTCTTCTTCTTCTTCTGACTTAATTATGAGGTTTATGTACTCTTAAGTGAAGCTAACAATCAGTGTGGCTGCTGACTCAACAGTTGATTGTTCCTATTCTTAGGAGTTATTATGTTTTATAAATAAGTATAATGTATGCTTACTATTTGCATTTGGTTCTTTACTTGTAGCTGCCATGTCTACATAGTAGACATTATTATTATTGTTATATGGTGAAGGTTGAATCATTGCAACAAAAATTAGTTCAGATGGGAAAATTCTTGCTTGTACTAAGTTTCTTATTTTGTTTTTTATCTAAAGGTTTTAAGTGACACCAAAACACCTTAATTACTCTAATTATTTACTTTCTTTGTGGTTTTACAGGTTAGAATCCACATGTTGCGCTAAAAAATAATCACATGAAGGTATTATGCATTGGACAAAGGTTGTGTTCCCCTTTATTTTTGTAATTTTAATTATTATTTTTTTCATTTAAAATGTGTACATTACCAGAATACACATTCCATTTTTATCCATTTACATACTTGACTCTTTTCTATAGCGATTAAACCACCATGCACTTTTAACGGTTATAGGCCAAAATGAAAAAAAAACATTAAGTACTTTTACCATTTTAGGAATTTAGCCACTAAACTAAAATTTTCTGAGAATTTATCTACCACTTACATCAAAACACCATTTTTTTTTGCATAATGCAACATATAGCATTGTACTTTCTTATATTTTTTTTAATGGGATAAATGATCTAAATAGCATTCTAATTTCATTTATAGTGTATTATAGCATCTTAGTTTTTTTTTTCTTTTCATTACAATATTGTAATAGGAAGAAATGAAACTACAACTAAATAAGGTTCCAGACACCATTATTTTTATTACCAAGTTTGTTGAGTGGCTTACGGTTGCCTTTTGTTGATACATATTTGGTTTATTGCAATTATTGATTGTGGATTTTCTACTTTGTGGATTTTCTACTTGACACGTAGTATGATGACAGAGATTATTAGTTGGCTTACTTTTGGTTTTTAAAGATTCAATTTTACCGCTTAAATTTAGTTCTTTTTCAAATATAGTTTTTATGAATTTTCACCTACATCATCTACTTTCTTCTGGGTCAAATTTTTAGTAGAGAAATTAAAACAAACATCCTTATCAAAGTCTACTACAATATTGAAGAACATTATGGTTCTTATTTGTATTTGGATGTTTTAACATGTCAGGTTTAATTCATTACACTTAAATGATATTTGTAGTAATTTTTTTAATATCTATTTATCACAATAAAAAAATATAACATTTATTGTATAAAGTTCAATGATATTTTTAGATCATGTTTTCTTTTAAGTTTTCCAAATTTAGATAAAAAAATACTTAATCTTGTTTAAATGATACCAAAATAACAAAGTTGACGGTGAATAAATTTTTTACTATGCTTGAAATCTTTTATAAAATAATTACCCTTTTAATAAAAGTGATTTGCAATCTTAATAATTGTCAGATTGGTTAGATGTGTTGATATCAATAAACAATCTAAGCTAGCTTGTGAGAAGACAGTTGAGTCTAGGGGTGTTCGTGGATGGTTGACCGAACTGAACTTCCCAAAACGATCGGTTTGTTAATTTCTTAAACCTAAACAGAAAAACTCGGTTAACCAATTTTCGGTTAACCTGTTTTTCCGGTTTTTGTTATTCTGATAACCTATTAACCGTTTATGAATTAGTAAATTTTTTGAAATTAAAAAACTCAACGGTTATTATTTAAAACAAGGATAATAATTCGCTACGATCTTTAAGAAAAAATTAAAACGATGAATATAAGTTTTAAACTTAATTAAAGATCATCAAAATTATTTATTTGTTATGGTAATTGTCATTATTTTAGATGGACATTGCAGATATCAGATAAACATGGTTGTTTATTGAATCGTAGCATTGGTTACTAATAAAATTTGATATGCTATTGCACTTATTGATTGATAATATCATTTCTTATTTTGAATTCAAATTTTGTTGCAATTTGTGCATGAAATAGTGAACAATAATATGTTATTCTATTGCAAATTGCACATCTTATTTTGAATAAATTATTAAGGCAATGAAAATTCATTTTTTTGGTTAACTGTTCATGGCAAAAAACATGAATCGTAACCGAACTGAAAAATAGAAGATTTTGGCGGTTCGGTTAACCAAACTGGAAATGTCAAAAAATTCGGCTCGGTTAACCTAAATATCGTTACGGTTTTTCGATATTCAGATATTTTGAACACCCTACAATTGACTGATTACCAAGCTCCAGTTACAACAACATTAGTTGGCATCTTATCGACACTTCAGTTGTTAGTCTTCACCTCTTCATCCATATATCCATATTATCTGTTTAATTTGCTATGTGTGTGAAATGTGTGTGAAAAGGGATGAAAGTTGGTAGGAAACTACAAAAGGACCAAAAATGCAAGAGGAAATATTTTGGGACCAAAACTGAAAAAATAATTATACTTAAAGGACCATTTGTGTAAGTTGATTATCTATAATATTTTTAACCACTTTCTTGGCTTGTGGGGTACTGTTATAACGGGAACAAATGGAAGTAGGATGCTATAAAAGAAAGTAAAATAAATATATAATTTTCTTATGATACAAAAATATTTTTTTTCATTCAACTTTTATTGTTGGGTATACTGTTAATTTATGTTAATTTGTTGTTTTTGTTATTATTGTTTTTGGAATTTTACAATTAGGATGTTTGTGCAAATATAATAGATGATCATTCAAACAAATCGGATATCACAACATTAACAATGCTACACATGAAAATTCAACGCAAGCAAGTCCTCTTATTACAAGATGAGTTTGATGATGGTATTCTAAACTGTCTTTAACTTAGTTGTAATGTGTTTTAAGACATTCTTTTGGAGCTTGTATTTTTTTTTAGTATTCTGTTTTTTCTATGAACTCATGTTAAGGTTGTTTCACATTTAATATAATTTGGTAGATTTGTCATTGTACAACGTTAATACGGGAACAAATGAAAAAATGATACTATAAAAGAAAGTAAAATCAATCTATTGTTTTTACATTGGTAAAACTCGTCCACCGGACGGGTATAACACTAGTTAAATGGGGTAGGATATAAGTTGAGCGAATCGATAATGATCCAAACCCAATCCCTATAATAAAAGGGTAAATGGTATGGATCGTAAATGGGTAAACGAATCAAAAAATTAAAATCCGAACCCGTAAAATTTTTATGGGTTTTGAGCGAATCAGGGTCAAAAACCGCCTATTGATAGATCTAGATGTATGTGTATAACACCATAAGCTCAGTGAGATAAAAATATTTAATATATAATGAAGTTTTAGAAAATATGGAAAGATAAAAACGACTTTTAAATTTCAGAAAACGAAAAACTATTTTTTTTTCCTAGTAATTCTATCAGAATTTCAAGGAAATCTGAACCAGATAAAAAAATCCCTCAAAAAAAGTGTTGAAACTTCCGTTGGATTACCAAATAAATTGCAAAAGAAATCAAAATTTGTTTTTTAGTTAACCGAGAAAATCAAAGCCAGGTAAAATCCTTCGTTAATATGTAGAACCGTCCGAAGAATTTCCGACAAGATGTATATTAAATGCATTTTACTCATTTTCTAAGAATTCTCTCATAAATACGTAGGAACTTTCGATAAAAAATATTCCTAAGAAAACTTTTTAGGAACACACATATTTTTCTAGTAGTGAATTCAATAATAAAAAAACCAAAATTAAATAACTAATCCTACGAATTTAATAATACTATATGTAGGACCATTCCTCTAATATATGCCGAGAATGTTACAATCCATAAAATATTTATATTGACGATTATTAGGACTATCGAACGAATGCATATCCTAAGTTCCTAACAACCTAAGCGATGAGTTGTAAAATCAAATTTAAGAATATATTCATCCATGGGTTTCATGGGTAGATGTCATTTATAACCTATACATGGATTTTTGTTAGTAACGGCCACGAAAACTGTGTTTATCTGCCATCATCATCCCCAATCATCAACGATTTCTTCAAACCCCAAAAAGTAAGCGGAGAGAGAGAGGAGGAGAGAGAGGAGAATGAGGGAGGTAGGAGGAGAGGAGAGCTAGAGAGAGATGAGAGGAAGAGAGAGGAGGGAGGTGGGGGGCGGAGAGGAGAGAGCGATGGAGAGAGAGAGGAGAGAGAGAGAGGAGAGGCGAGAGAGAGAGAGAGAGAGCGAGAGAGAGAGGGAGAGAGGAGAGCGAGAGAGAGGAGAGAGAGAGGAGAGAGATGAGGAGAGAGGAGAGAGAGAGAGAGAGAGAGAGGAGAGAGAGAGAGAGAGGTGAACGTTGCCGCTGTTGATCTCAGGCGACGTTTTCCAATCTCCTGTTGACCGACTGTATGTATCCTCAAAACCCTAATCATTTCATTATTTTCCTCAATATATCTTCCCTGAATGTTCTACATTTTTCTTTTTTTACCAATTTGATCGAGTCTTTCGTTCAAACGTTTGAATTGTTCCATTTCCATCTTTAGCTTTTATTTATACGTATTTAGCTCCTTTTGTTGTTTGATGATGCCAGACAGCAATAGGGTCCCAATATTATGCCAATTACAAGCTAATTCATCGGGCCAATATGATTAGCATTTGTGTCCTCATAGATAAAACATTTGTACAATGCTTATTGCTTTTGTAATGCTATTCATGAAGAATTGCTTTGGGTCCATGATATCTAGGTTCTTGGCGTAACATTCATGTGTAAATGATATGTCGAGCTAATAACCTTCAAACATAAATGAATACCAAAATTGTTATCTGTAAGCTGTATACTATTGATATCAATCAGTTACCCTTCCTATTATCGAATTTTTGCATGTTGAACTGTAGTATAACGATTTAAACTATTGAGATCTAACAATTCGCGCATGGAGTTGTTTTACTACAATTGAAGATGCTGCACTTTCAATATGTTCGTTGACCATATATAGGTGATAAATTTCAGGTTCTATTAGCAATGACGCCAGCCTCTGGAGAGATTGCAAAGCGTCTTACAAATACTGAGACTGAGCATGTTGCTAGGGAAGACAGTGAATATGAGAGACTGGTTGTATCTAGTGAAGAGAAGGTTGAAGGTGATGACATACACCCTCAACAAATAGAAAGGGAAAGGTGTGACAGGTCTTGGAAATGGTGGATTAAGGTTATATCATTGTCCATTGTTACTATCGTAGTTTCAGTCGTTTCAGTGAAATGGGGAATGCCAATTGTATTTGAGAAGGTAAAACTAAAGCAATCTGATAATATTACGTACTATTGTCTATATTTGATTAGAAGTTATACAAAATTACTAGCTAATACGTATTTACATAATCATAAAAGTAGTGTAGTACAGTGTAATTTTTCTGATGTTGGTGTAAGTACAGCTTCTAATCCCAATGATGGAATGGGAAGCCACAGAATTTGGTCGTCCAACACTTGCTCTCATACTTGTAGCCTCCTTGGCACTTTTCCCAATCGTCTTCTTGCCATCTGGTCCTTCTATGTGGCTTGCAGGGATGATATTTGGATATGGACTGGGATTTGTAATAATCATGGTTGGAACAACAATCGGAATGGTTTTGCCATATCTGATTGGTCTATGCTTTCGTGATCTCATCCATGTGAGTACCAATGACAGATATTATATAATTTTATAGCTTAAATGTTAAGTTGTTAATTTAAAATTAATTAATTTGTAGCAATGGTTGAAGAAATGGCCACGGACAGCTGCAATGATTAGAATGGCTGGAGAAGGAGACTCGTTCCAGCAGTTTCGAGTGATTGCACTCTTTAGGATTTCACCATTTCCGTACACCATATTCAACTATGCTATAGTAGTCACCAGCATCATGTTCTGGCCCTATTTATTTGGATCCATAGCCGGAATGATTCCTGAAGCCTTCATCTATATTTACAGGTAAGGCCTTTCCATTAATGAAACTATATATATATATATATATATATATATATATATATATATATATATATATTCCTGAATTTAATCAATTTAATTTCATGCTAATATGAATATAGGAAATCATATATATCTTGATTTTTTTAAGAATTGAACATATCTTGCACAGCTTTAATGATAATTACTTGTTGTGCAGTGGGAAGTTGTTAAGGACATTTGCGAATGTACAGTATGGAAATCATGAAATGAGTCCACTGGAAATTATATACAATGTTATTTCCTTCATCGTAGCAGCTGTGATGACCGTATGTTTCACAGTTTACGGGAAAAAAGGTCTAACAAAACTTGAACATGAAGAGAAGTGCGGGGTAACTGTAGTTCACTTAGGGCATATACAACTGGATAGACTTTCGTTGGAGAGACCAAACCAACATGGCCTTCATCACAGCTTGAGGTCGCCGTAGGTTTAATTTTATAGCTAACCATTGTAGGAAAAACCAGCAGACAGAATAAGGACAAATGAGTTGAGTATTACAGTAACCATTGTTTATTTTGTAGATGAGAAGGTTCCTGTACATAAAAACTACACCACGTAATTTGTGGAACTTGTCTGTTCTATATATCAAATGGCAGATTTTTCAGCTTCGTTTATTCCATACTTTATGCATGATTGTCTCGTATATTATTTATGTGTGTTATATAGATTTATCAATCATTCATCCAGTGTTAGTATTATATATCATTTTCATCATTAATGAAAATGTTGATTGTTGATATGATATATGTTGGAAAATTAGTTTTACTAATTTCCTAAAATGAGCTTTTTTATCATTTTTGAGCACGAATTTTGGACTCTAAATGTAATCAAAACGGACTATTGGTTATATATCCGTGTGATATCTTCGTTTCGATATATCACACGTCCAAAACGGATTAAAAATGAATGAGAAATTACTTGTTAAAATATGGTAATTCACTACTAGACAAATTGGTTTTGGCTACCAAAAATTCCGACAAACATATTTTGTTGGTAATTCTCTTCAAATTTCCAAAAAATATTCGACAAATGTGGAATCCAACAAAATTCCAACAAAAGACTGGCGATATAGAAACGACAGAGATTTTGTTGGAAAAACGTCGGAATTTTCCTACAAAAACCGACAGACTATTAATTAATATTTAAAATTATTAATACTATTGACGACGGTGAGTTGAAAAACCGTCGTCCAAATCCTAGCCCTTAAAACTCCTACAACTTTCAATCTGAGCCGCATAAACTCCAATTTGGCGGTTGTTTGCAGTTCATTCGATCGGTTCCTGCTTCTTCTACCCACGATTGGGTGGATGCCTCTTATTCGGTAACTGCTAAATCACGTCGTACTCATCAGCCTATATATTGATCGTTCGACGTTTGATGTTTCCATCTTTCAATTGGTAAAAACAATTGTTTCATTTGATGTTATGGATTGCAATTCGTCTATTGTTTGTTCGCATAAGGTAAAATTCTTGTCTTCTGTAATCGATTCCTTTAACCCACCGTTCCCATTTTCTTCGCACTTGCTTCCTCTTCTTTTCTACAAATCAATATTGATTCACTGCAATTTTTTCAACACCCATCTGAAATCGAGTCAAGATTCATACAATAAAATCATCAACTTTGTGTGATTAGGGCTCGGATATTTTAGGCAGGGTTCGTATCAAGGTAGGAGAAGGTTTCGAGTTGGCCTGGTCGAACATCTTTATTGATTTTGGATCTCGATCATCTCACATAAACTGTAAGTATTATCCTTATCTCCCTCCTCTGATTTGGGATGACGATATGGCTTCAATTTTTTTTAATCGAAGCAATCTAATGTTCTATGGTTTGTCATTCCTTATATTAGAACTAGAAAGGAGTTAAATGGGAAGAGAAACAGCGTCACAATCTGTGACAACCGTCAAATTCTTGTCAAGTCAAAGTCAAATAAAGTCAAGAAGTCAAACCGGTCAACTCAAACTAACCTTATATATTAGGGTTTACATTATGTTACTACTGTACAACTCGTTATTTTAATAAGAAGTTATCACTTGAAAAATTTATATGTTCAGAATTCTCAAACCCTAATTAGGGTAAGTGATGAGACTACTTGGTAAAACACTATTTTGTACTCCCTCGGGAGCGTATAACGTTCATAACGAGGTTTACAAACCTTGCATAGCGAATGCTAAACATCCAAAAAGGTCTCAAACGAAGTCTCTCTCAAAACTCTCTCGCTCTATCTCTTTCTACCTCAAATCTCTCCCAAATCTCTCCAAGTATGTGAAATCTCTCCCAAATATCTCCAAGTATGTGAAATCTCTCCCAAATCTCTCTAAGTATGAGAAATCTCTCCAAGAATGTGAAATCTATCCCAAATCTCTCCAAGTATGTGAAATCTCTCCCAAATCTCTCTAAGTATGTGAAATCTCTCCCAAATCTCTCTAAGTATGAGAAATCTCTCCAAGAATGTGAAATCTCTCCCAAATCTCTCTAAGTATGTGAAATCTCTCCCAAATCTCTCTAAGTATGAGAAATCTCTCCAAGAATGTGAAATCTCTCCCAAATCTCTCTAAGTATGTGAAATCTCTCCCAAATCTCTCTAAGTATGAGAAATCTCTCCAAGAATGTGAAATCTCTCCCAAATCTCTCTCAACTTTTTATGATCACCCGGGGCATCCTGACCCTTAATTTAGTCGAAAACAGCTCGAAACGGGAAGATAAATGGAAAATCAGCCATTAAGAGCCGAAACCTCTTAGGAACCGAACCCTCTCAAGAGCCGAAACTTCTTAGGAACCGAACTTGCTTAGAACCGAGACCCCTATTAGAACCGAAGTCACCTTCGGGTTCGGCTCCTTGCACCCTCTCGGTCCATTTCGCTCCTGCATGGTTTCGGTCTATTTCGCTTCTTACCCCCTTCGCCTTCGGTCCTCCTTCTGATGGCTTCGCCTGCGAGACCTGCTCGGACCGAACCCCTCCCTCTCGGTTCTAATTCATCAACCGAACTAGCCTTCGGTTCCGACCCTCTAAGGATCGAAACTTCGGCCAGACTTCGGAAATTAGCACTTTCTTCCCGGTTTTTGACCCAATCTTCGTTTTAAGTCCGTTTTTCGTGATTTTAACGCGGGATTTTCACTCAAACTCGTATTTTAACATAAGAGACCCTAAATATTCATTTTTAATCATATTTTTAGGGGAAATCCTTGCCCAAGAATAAAATCTATTAAGTTAGATTTTAGGGTAGAGTGTTTACTTTATCTAGAGTATGACACAAGCAACCTCCCCCATACCTTCATAGGACAACCCTCAGTCACTATTCCTCCCTACCTAGTGTACTATTGGTCCTTTGACACCCCTCCTCCAGCTACATAGCCTCATCAAAAGCTGGTAACACCCATATCTCTCCTTCCACTTTACTCACACACTCTCTCTCTCCAAAAAGCAAACACCCCTATCTCTCACTTTCCCTCTCTAGAACTCGAGATTTCAAGGCTGTTCTTGAACCTTTCACTTCAGTCTTGGTAAGTATATTCATCCTACATTTGAGTACTCTACACTCCTTCACTCAAATCATGAATCTCTTATACAAATATCGTCATATTTGTGCTTAGGACCTTCAAATCTTCAAGTGTCTCCCAAGTGTTCTTGACTTGGAAACTTCTTCTTTTCATCATCCATCTTAAGAGATCACTCAAGGTGAGTTCATACCCCTACATTTTCAGGTTTTCTTCAAAGTTTTAGGGGGAGAATACAAGTTCAAATGCCAAGAACTCAACTAAATTTAAACAACAACTTTCATCAGAAAAGTTGAGTCTTATTCACGGACTGTTTTGACCATCTTAAACCCAATATCTTTCAAACCTGTTTAATATGCAAGTCGTTCAGGTTCATACCTTTAAAATGACTACTTGCACATCTCCATACGATTTTCTACAATTTTATGGTGATTTTTACAAAACTGCCTATCATTTCAGAAACGAATTCCGACCAGTCTGTGAATATGGACATTTTCACACAAGTTAGAGACTTCCAAAAATCATAATAAAATTTATGAACAAACTAGACACGTTTTCTAAACTCACAGAGTTTACAGATTTAGCTTTTGACTTCGTATGGTTTTTCTATGACTTTTCTAAAAACAGTGTAGAAAAGTTAAAAACAAGTTAACAGATTACAATATTCATAACACTTTGTAACATGTTGAGCAAAGTGTAACCTGTGATGATTTTGAATTTTGCATATGTTTATCTGTTGTGATATGTTTATATAACAGAAAATACACTATAAAGTATAAGGTCCTTTGAAATTACAAATAATGCATGATGAAATATAACAAGTATAGTTATGCATTGGTTAGGCTATTACATACACATGAAGAGTCTCACCACAATACTATCGGGTTTTCAACTACTACTTGATAAACTATAATAGTAATAGTTTATAGATTCATATCACTAATTTATTTTCATAAAAGGTGATTTCACTTCCACCACGGAAGGGGTTTAATACTCAAACTATATGTAAACTAGTTAACGTAAGTTGTGAGACAATTCACTCATCGTACTCTTAGAGTACGGGTTCAAATTCCTGTAAGTTATAACCAAAGTCTCTTGTAGGGAGAGCGTGATAATTGTGTATAGATCTATATTGGGATTGACACCCCACACCTTGCTGCTAGCTACAGCGGGACCTGCAGGTGTACGGGTGACAAATGTCATAACTAAATTTTAACGTCTGAAAAACGTTGTAACATGTCATTCGGTTGTAGTATGGTTATAACGACTCACATAGGGAGTTAACATTACTTAAAGTTTACGGGAAATTCTACTTTAAAAAGGAAAACAAAAAGGGTTTTTATGTATATGTAAAACTACATTCTCGTTTAAAATACGAACACACATTCATGCATTCGGTCTCTGGATTTAAGATTACATAAACTTTTATAAGGAAAATATTGGATTTTTCTTGTGTATACATTTCATTTTACCAATAAGGGTTTTTCCAACATTTACCCAAAATCTTATGAACTCACCAACTTAATTGTTGACACTCTTTCAAAACTACTTGTATTCTCAGGAAACCCGTGAAACAGGTAATCAACTGCTTTTGAGGATGGGACGCGAGACGTCAAACTTATATATTTTTGTCATCATGATGTAATTGATTTTGAAACATGTAACTTATACTATGGTGTAAATTTTTCAATTATATTTATGATGGTGTATTTACTATGAGCACTATTATACTCGTTGTTGTGATACTATACATGAAGTCCACCACCCCCGGACGTTTCCGCCATCCTTGGTTTGGGGGTGTGACAGATTGGTATCAGAGCATTGTTTATAGTGAACATAGTATATCAAACCACATAAGATATACAAACTGTGACAACCCGATATTTCGAATCAATGTAATGACCTAAAAAGTCAAGAATTGTAATCTCTTTTGATATAATGAAATTAGCGTCAAAAATAAAATGTTCAAAAGTCTCTATTGGGTT